TCTCATCCATGCTTTCATTGACATTCTTAGTTTTACCACCATAGCTTAAGGTGAATGGAACATACGAAGTTTAAGATATGCATATTAGGGAATATAAGAAGTTTTCTTTTTAGAGAAAGCTTCATGGTTAAGGCAATTACTCATATTCTTTCTAGACCCTTTAAAATAGAGAGAAGTATAATACAATGAAGTGGTATTATGGATTTGGTAGTAAAAAGTCTAGGCTTAAATCCTGACATACTAAGCCAAGTAAGTCAAATAATTTCTCTGAGCTTCTAGGTATTTATCTATAAAGTTTGAAAAATAAGTATCTCAGAATTGTGATGATCAAATGTAAATTATAAACTTCTACACAAAGGTTGGGTGGTAAGGATGGTTGTTTTAGGCTTTAACAATTTTTGTTGGAACCCTAGGAATGGTTAAAATGACTCACAGGTTGCCCAGCTGGGTGTGACTCAGCAGTTGAGCATCTACCTAAGATCCAGGAGATGGAGGTTCCGTTCCCAGTCAGGACACGTGCCGGGATTGCAGACTCAATCCCCAGTCAGGGTCGTGCAGGAGGCTGGCCAATCAATGACTCTCTCTCATCAATGATGTTTCTGTCTCTCTCTCTCCCTCTCTTTTCCTCTCTCTGAAATCAATAAAGATATATATATATATTTTTAAAGCCTCACAGATTTGTAATTTCAGCCTACACTTCTCCTTTGGGCTCCATACACATATGCTCAGTAGCCTACCTGATGCCTCCTTCATTCTATTCTTCACAGAGCAACAAGAATATTCTTTTGAAAGTATAAATGAAACCACATGTTCCCATTTAAAACCCTTTATTTAATAATGGGTTAAAATAAAAACCCTTTATTTAAAACCCTTTATTTAATAATTATTAAGAAACCCAAGTTCTTAATAATGGCCATAATACCCTGTTGATCTAGCCCTTGCTCTCTCTCCAACCTCATGTCCTGCCATTTCCCCTTTCTCCATAACACTCCCAACCCAGAAGCTTCCTTCAGCTCCTTGCTACTGTCTATTCCCAGGCTCTGACCCGTGCTGTGCCCTTGCCTGGACTGCCTTCTATCTCCCTCATGTCTTGCTACTCCTTAATCTTCATGTCTCAAAGCTCTGACCACCCAACTTAAGTAGGTCCCCTTCCCACCTCCCACCTGTCCCCTCCACGCAGTACCCACAGTTCTTCTCTATTGTTGTGCTGTTTCCTCCATACTATAAATTTAAATTCCACATATATTTGTTTGATATTTGTTTTCTTATCTCTTAACTATCTTCCCCACCACCACATGGCACACCCCAGGAGGCAAGAACCATGTGTTTTGTTCACCATTGTATATGCAGCATCTATTTCAGTGCCTGAAGTAAATGAATGATTGAATCAATGAATGAATGAGATGAAAAGTGTAACATGCTAGGAGATTTTTAGGGTCATCTTTATATCCTAAATCATAACTGTAGGCAGATTACAGTCTTGTCAAGAGTTAGCCTTACTAATGTGTATTAAAGTACAAAGGAGAGATAAACTGAAATCAATAAAACATGATGTACTAGTACTGAGTTAGTAATATAGTACTGAAGGACCCACAAGAGTATAGACACAGCTAACACCCATGTAACAGGATGCTGAGTGAGGTCCAAAATAGGGAACAAAGAGCATGAATTACTCACCTTCTAAATAGCTGCCAATATTTGGGGCCAGATACCTAGTCCTTTAGCCAAGACAAATCTGAACAAAATGACCTACTATAGTCAAAACCTACAACCCTCACTCTCAGGTCACATAAGCAGAACGCTCAGGAAGAGAAGTATTGGAGTTAGCTGGGTCCTGCAAAGTACTGTGGCTTTTCCTTTCAATTTATCCCTGCCCCACTCCAAGTTAAAGGAACAAGGCTTCAGTAGAGCCAGCTAGAGAAATTGGAGGTAACTGTAAGGAGAGCCTGGCATCCCGTCCTCTGGCAGATTGGCTGATGTGCCCTGCACCTACCTAAACGGGGGCAGAGACTTGGTGCGAGACAGCAGGCTAGCGAGCAGGCTGAGTAAAGCAACCTGCACTCCTTCAGCTTGGCATGGCAGGGGTGCGGACCTTTCTCCTGGGTTCACTGATGCTGTATAGAAAGTGCTGTCCAGGTTTGAACCATCTAGACAACTAAGGGGGAAAGAAATTCTAGCAGCAAAAGGCTGGACATGCTTCTGAGAGTGGGAACTGAGAGAGAAAGAGAGAGCAGCAGGCTGATCTCCCAGGTCAGGGAGCTGTGCAGTGGAGGGGCCGCCTCAGAGATTCTGAACTCTGTGCCCATTAATGAGTGAGCATTTAGAAGCAACCTGGGTTGTATTTAAGCAGTGGAGAAAAATGTATCCCTTTCTTCCCTAATTTCCCTCCCAGTCCCCACCCCACACCAGAGGGAGTAGGCCTTGAAGAGAGAGTGACAAAATTGGTTGAAAACAACCCCCACCTCTGTCTTTAGAGTTGCTGAGTCACAAGTTCAGCCAGAGAACATGTGCCTTAGAACTGAGAGTGGAGTTTTAAACCAGACATACTCTTGATGACCGCGAGTGGAGGAAGAAGTTAAAGAACACGCTCAAGATGTCTCTAAGGGGTTTGCTACCCAGTGCTGCTTAATCACCTCAGGATCCCATCAAAACAAAATTTCTGATGCAGTTAGTCTGCGATGCGGCCAGAGATCCTGCGTTCCTAACAAGCTCCCTGGGGACGCTGCTGATTCCAGGGCCACACTTTGACAAACAAGGCACTATAAAGCAGGGGAGGGAGTTTCAACAAAGCACAGTGAGCAGCAAGGAGTAGAGAGAAGAGAGAAAAAATATTAGGCTGGAACATAGAAAATATCCATTTTTGTAGGTCAACAACTGTAGAATATTGGCAATTTGAAAAACTTTTGTTTGTATCCCATCAAATAAAAAATTCATAAAATGGGAAACACATTATTGGAATTAAATAATGCCTCTGCATTCTAACAAATATTTATACCCTACTTAAATGAGAATGTATAAATGAAGTAGCGTAAGGAAGTAGCACTGGCTCTGTCGGCAGGCAGAAAGAAGTACTCCCTAGGAGAGAGAGAGAGAGACACGGGGT